CAATCATTCAATAAAATTTTTCAACAAGTTGAGATTTTTCATTTTCCTTTTGAAATATTTTATTATTTATATAATTATATAACTAGTCTGTGCAAAACCTTAAAGAAGCGAATGAACGAATAAATAAACGAATGCAAACGGAGATGATATCGATTATCCGTCCATTAAATCGAAACTTATCGTCGACCCGTAGACATTACAAATAAAATCGTAATAATATAACTCCTCTAATCTGATTTTCCGAGAATAGTCCAGATAAGAAATATTTTCAATGAGATTAACTCTCCTCCTCCTCGTTGGGTTTCCTTCGTCGTTTTAACCAGACTCTACTTCTCAGAAACGATTTCTTATCGTGTATTCGTCACCGTTATTCCAAACGAAACACAATGACACTCTTTCGAAACGATCGAAAGATAAAGCCCGAGACATATTCATATAAAAACGTTAAAATATTAATAATGATCGAGTTTACGATCGAACTCGAAGATCAAATAGAGAAGAGCACACAAAGTTCGCCCGCGTGAAATAGAGATAGAGAGATAAAGAGATAGAGAAGTAAAGAGAAAGAGAGAAAGAGAGAGAGTGAGAGAATAGCTCGATCGCGAAATTTCCGTCAAGGCGAGGCAATTTCCTTGTAAGAGAAGAGAAAGCACGCGTGCAGCAGCAACAACAGAAGCAGAAGCAGTAGCAGCAGCAGTAACAGCAGCCGAGGAAAACGCTAACGTCGTTCTCCGCGCTTTAATAAAGTTCGCCGAAGGCGCCGCCTCGAGACTCGGTGCGTAACGAGACGCCATAATTATTATACACCGTTAAGAAACAAACTTAGAGAAACTAAGAAGGAAACGTGGCAGTACGGTAATTTGAAAATGTAATCGCGTAAGACCCGACTGTCTCTTCTTCTCTTCCTCCATCTCCTCTTCCTCCTTTTCCGATCCTCCTTTACGAGTAACTTTAAGTATTTGCTTTCTCTCCTTCTCTTATGTAGCTTGCACGACTACCGGAAACGATTTAAGCACGTTCCGCTTTTCGATGGAAAATTCTCATTCTCTCTCTTTTGATGGTCCAATACGTGCGCTTAAATATCTAGATCCTTATCGATCGACTAGAATTTTTTTTATAAATTGAACGATCTTTATTTAGCAAAATATACGAAATAAAGAAAGAAAATCTTCAATTCTAATCGATCATATTACGAATTTCCTCGTGACCTTTCACCGTACAACTCCTTTCCTTTTTCCCTTTTCCAATTTAAGGATTACGTGCTCTCGAATATGAACGCGTACTCGTAAGAAAAGAATTACGGTCACTAAGCTGTCTCTATTTTTGACTTTAATACGACTAAACAACCGACTGCACGTCGTGTTCGAAATAAAGACGTGACAACCCCCGATTCCTCTCTCCCCTTTGAAATTACGAATCGGATAGATCGTAAGTGATTTTCAATGAATGTGGTATCTCTCTCTCTCTCTTTTTTTTTTCTTTTTTTTTTTTATAAATGAAAAATGTATGATCGAACAATAAAAATTAATAAATAGTTTGAAAAAATACAAATAAATAAAACAAATTAGATTGGAACAATCGTAAATACATATATATGTACATACATACATACATACATATATATATATATACATACATAAATACATAAATACATAGATACGGTTTTTATTAGAACAACACCTGTCGCTATTTGACCTTCTCTTTTAATCTAGACTATATTGAAACATATCGCACAGGGTACGGCCTTAATAACCATACCACGCACTCACGGCATTATCGGAGCAGGGAATCTACCTATTCATCGTCTACGTGCTTTGATTCGGCAATTAATTATTACATCAAGCAAATTACTCCGCTTCGTCTTTAAACCTCGAAATAGCTACCGTTTATCGTTATATGCGATTCGATTATTAGAATGGGATTTATTTCATCCTTTTTTCTTTTTTTTTTCTTTTTTTTTTTTTCTTTTTTTTTCTTTTTCTTTTTACATCCAATCTCTCTCCTCTACTCATCCTTATTCATAACATTTTTAATTCATCATTAATTTTCTTTTGTAGTACATAATTCTTAAGTCATTTATGCATATATAAAATGGATAAGTAGGTATACAATAAAGACAAGCGATTAAAACTTTAATTACATTCGATTATCCTTTACATTCATTATGAGAATTTCTACTTTTTTTACTAGGATAATCAAAAGAAAAGATGAATGAAGAAGAAACGTATGAAAAGCAAATAAGGGATCAGAATTTAACGAAACGAGAGATCTCGAAGGCAGACCACAAGAAATGCTATCGAGAGATGAGCTTCGACAAACGATCGAAGTTTAACGAGCCGAAGAAGAGCCGAACGGACATACCGATAAGTCTATTTTCTCTCTCTCTCTCTCTCTCTCTCTCTCTCTTTCTGTCTCTCTCGTTCGTACTGTCGATCGGTGTCTCTTGGAACGAACAATATCCCGCGTATCTAGAAGAGCGATGATCGAACCTCGGTAGGTAGGTAGGTAGGTAGGTAGGTAGGTAGGTAGGTAGGTAGGTAGCTAGCTAGCTTGCTTGCTTGCTATCTCATTCGTTCATTCGTTCATTCGTTCGTTCGCTCGCTCGCTCGCTCGCTCGCTTGCTCGTTCGTTCGTTCGTTCGTTCGTCGTGTCGCGTTTCCTTTGCCATGGCGGATTCGTCATTGGCGCCTTTGTGTAAACCTCCGTTCGCTGCGTTTGACACTTCCGATACGATGGCCTCCTATCCTCCGTTTGAAATACTATTCTCCCCTTTGCGTCTGACACCTTTGATTACCGCTCGGTGGTCTATCGAAAGCGGCTTTAATCTCGCACGGAAGGATCGCCATCGTCGTCACCGACTACGACGATGGAGGAGGAGGAGGAGAAGAGTCCGAAGATCCAAAGGAATAATTTAAACTCGCATTTAGATTTCCTCTCTCTCTCTCTCTCTCTCTCTCTCTCTCTCTCTCTCTCTCTTCTCGATTTTCGAACCAACTCACCGATATCTCCTTCCTATTTTCCTCTTACAATCAACGATCTCTTTGAACGGACATGGATACCTAGTTTTAATAGTTCGATAGACGACTGAAATACTCGTCAATGTGTAGAACTTGATACGTGCGATATACAAATACGTGTGTGTGCATATATATATATAACATACTTACATATTGGTATATACTTCTTTTTTCACTACGATAAAAGTTTTTACTATGTAAGGCATGATAATAACAGCATTGAATCCATGTAATTATCATTTTGAAATGAATTATTCAAAGACCCATTGCCATTTAATGCCTGATCGTTACAATCTTAACGCTTATTCTCATCGATTATTTTTTTCATACGCGTTAAATATGCGTGCTATGGAAACGAAAGTATACATTTTTTTCTTCTATCGCGAAAGATTGCAAAGTTTGTTGTAAACGAATAAATATAAAGAAGGAGGAAAAAAAATAAAATAAAAGGAAGAAGGAAAGAAGAGAAAAAGAAAAAAAGAAAAAAAAAAGAAAAAAAAAAAAAGAAGAAAATCGAGTGAACGAGGTAGAAAAGCTCATAATAGTTCTTCTTCCGCTTATAGTCTGCATCCTGTGTATTTCTACTATCGTTCTTTCTCTTTACCTTTGCTCGAGTTACCAAAGCCTCGAGACCATGCATTGAGAGTCAGAGAGAGAGAGAGAGAGAGAGAGAGAGAGAGAGAGACTCGATAGGGGGTGATAGAAAGAAACAAAAAGAGAAATAGAAAGAGAGAGAGCGAGAGAAGAAACGCAACAAGAACAGAATCCACTGGCGGGAGCGAAAGAGAATGTTTATCGTGGCCTTAGGAAGAAAGAAACCTTACGGGCACCGAACGAACAGGAAATACGACGTATAAACTTGTGTACGGTAAAAGGCGTATTATATCTGTATACTTAGTGGTTATATATATATATATATATATATATATATATATATCTTTTCTCTCTCCCTCTCTCTCTCTCTTTAAATGTAAGTTAAGTAAAACAAAAAAAAAAGTATACTTTAAAATCAACTAAGGAATTACATTCGGATAAACTCCGTGTTGGTAGCTTGGAAATGATCGTATGAGAGAGAAAGAGATAGTAAAGAGATAAAGAGCGAGAGAGAGAGAGAGAGAGAGAGAGAGAAAGAGAAGAACATGTTAGATAGCGTTCCAAACAAACTGTTTAAAAGGAAAAGGCGGGAGACGAAGATGAACGATAAGTAGAGATTTACGTGAAAGACGAAACATTAGAGAGAAGGAGAGAGTGAAATAGCTTTGGAGAAATAAAAAAAGAAAATAAATAAAAGAAAAGAAAACAAAAAAATAGAAGGAAGAAGAAAAAGGATTTGTTTAACGCAAACTATATATTTTTTTTCTTTTCAATTTTTCTTTTTTTTTTTTTTTTCTTTCTTCTTTTTTCTTTTCTACGATAGAAGTTTATCCAACACTCTCGAGACGTTCGATCGATTATCGATTAAATTCTTTCTTTCTCTCTCTCCCTCTCTCTCTCTCTCTCTTTCTTTCCCTAGACGAGAGAAAATATATATCGAGAGGTCTCGTTTCTTAATCATTTGTATTTACAATCGGAAACGATCTAATCGTAAAAAGAGAAAGGAAAACAAGTATCGACGTTTCATTTCTGTTGTACGTTGCCACGAGACAGATCTGAAAGGAAAGAAAGTCTAACGCCTAACCTACATATATATATATATATATATATATATATATATATATGTGTGTGTGTAAAAAAAAAGAAGGAAAAAAGTCAAGGTATTAGCGTGACCAATTGTGAAGAATCGAGAGGTAGTAATACGTCGTCATTGTCCTAGAGAAATTTAAAGGGAAATTATTAGCGGATCGTATTATTATCGTCGCGCGTGTATGCGAATCGATAGTTGAAAGTGCATATGGTAAATACATAGGTTATTGATGTTGTTATTGTTGTTGTTGTTTTCGATAGAAGAACAGAAACGAGAAAGAATAACAATAGTACACTCACCGGAATGACAGGTGCGATGTGCTCGATGACGTCACTTTCCCCATCCAAGCCAATCGAAGTAATAGCATTAGCATTAGCATTGGCATTAGCATTAGCATTAGTAGTAGTAGTAGTAGTCGTAGTAGTAATAGTAGTAGTAGTAGTAGTAGTATTATTATCCACCTTCACGAATGGAGTTTCACTAACGATCTCGTACACATAACCTGTCATCTTCGAAGCGTCTCGAAGAAATCGTTGATCATTATCATCGTCGTAACACGAGGAAAATGAATATATAAAGGATTCGTCGCTGCTTGCAATCCTCCTCCTCGTCGTTGTCATCGTCGTCGTCGTCGTCGTCGTCGACGTTGCCGTCGTAGTCATCGTTGTTGCCGTTCCTGTCGTCATCGTCATCGTCGTCGTTGCCGTCGTTGCTCCTGCTGTTGTTGTCGTCGTCGTCGTCGTCGTCGTCGTCGTCATCGTCGACGTCGTTCTGGCGAGGATGGCACACCTCCTCTCCATGGTATCGTGCGTCGCGACGCCGACGGCCGATGTGATCATCGCGTCGCGACGCCTAACTTCTGCCTATCTACAATTTCTACCACCGGCTGATGCTTTTGTAACTGTAGCTGTAATTGCAAGTCTAGTTGTAACTGTTGATGCTGCTCTAACTGTTGTTCCTGCTGATGTTGCTCCTCTTTCTCCTCCACCACCTTCTCCTTCTTCTCCTCCTCCTGCTCTTCCTCCTCCTCCTTCTCTTCTTCAATCACTTTTTCTTTCGAAGTCGAGACGCACGCTCGCTCGTATTCGCGCGCGAGCATTCCTCGTCGCGCGACGAATAAAACTTTAAAAGCTTCTTCGACCGAGATGATATTCGTCGTCTTCTCAAAGTCACGAAGAAGACGCATATATATATATATATATATATATATATATGTATATGTATATATATATATGTATAAATATGTGATGCGTGTGCGCGCGTATGTGCGTGCGTGCGTTTGTTGCGTGTCCTCCTTGCTATTACCTACTACAATGTTCTCCCCCTTTTTCCTTCTACTTCTTCGTCCCCTTTTTCCCCTCTTCGTCTTCTTTATTTTATGTTTTCTCCTCTTTTTTTCTCTATTTTATTCTCCCAATAATTTTTCACTTTGACACTTCGAAAAAACACGGAAATTTTCGACGAGAAAATACGTATATACGTATATTGCCTAGAAGATCACGCACTCGATAAGAAAAACGAGACTCGATTTGTGAGGAATAAACGCGAGACGAAAAAAGTATATATGTATAAAAGGCGAGGATGAAATAGAGAGAAAGAGAACGGACGAACGACGAGAACACACGTCCTCCTCGCCGTGGTACGGAGGGCAAACTGTCGCTCGGTACGCGCTCGACCTCTCGCAGCGACGTCTCTCAGCGCCGCGACGAAAAACTGAAACTCGGTGGCGCCACGCCACCGACGATCGAAACGCCCCCGTGCAGTTCCAAGACGTACTACGCTCTACCTCTCTCTCTCTCTCTCTTCTTTCTCTTTCTTTTTCACTCGCACTCGTGGTACGATGCAAGAAGACTGAGAGAGACCTAGGAAAGGCTAGGAATTGAAATCGAACAAAGCAAATTCTTCTTCATATACGATATCTGATATTTTCGATTGATCTTTTATCATTGAAACAACAAAATAATTATTCGTATAAATGGTAAATTAATTCTTTTTTCTATTCAACGTTCGAACGCATTGAATTCTCACAGTAAAGATCGATGAAAGATTTCGACACCCAAGAAAGCTCAAATCCTTCCATCGATCTGCGCTCGTCACCGAGGCGCTCGCGCATCATCACACTACTGCAGAAACACGAACGCATACGTACGAGAACATGCATGCACTCGGATATCAGGGCTACCTACTCTCCTGAAACTCGGTTGTCCATCCTCCCGTTCAAGCAGAGAGAAAGAGAGAGAGAGAGAGAGAGCCATGAGTACTAAGTTCACCCCATCCCCTACTCTCCAACCTTCAACTCCTAAGACAACATCTCCGGCACCTCCGGCGCGCTTTCCAGGTTCCTGTGCAACTACAATTCGTCGTCGATCGTCGATTCTGATGGTACAATTTTTAAATGGGCCACGTCGCACGAATCATCCATTTTTTAAAATTATCTTCACATGTCACATAAGTATTACATACGTTCTTAGCTATAAGTTTCATCCACGTTACCGCCCTCCCATTGCACGATTTCCCATTTTCTTCCTTTATTATGTCCGATTTCTTGGCTGAAACAGCACAACGTGGTTTCTAACAAATGAAAACGCTTTGGTTTCGTACTAACGGGAATGCGTTTAAAATTTTCGCGAAGGAAATTGAACTTTTACGAGTACTACCAGTTTCTCTTCTTTTCGAACTCTATTTACTTTACGATCTTTCTTTTTTGTTTTTTTTTTTTTCTTTTTACCCAACTAACATTCTCAATGCTTCTAGCGTTTATTTTTCTTTTTTCTTTCTTCTTCCCTTTTTCACTCTCTTCTTCTTAACTACTGCGCCACTCGAAATGACCGATTCTATCTAAAGATTTATTTCTTTGACGACGAAGTGACGAAAAATCGAAATTCTTTCTCTTTTATATATCGTAGAATCAAGTGTTTACCACGAAATATTACGCCGATAATACTTTCCTCGTCAATTTTTTCTTTTCTTCTTTTTTCCGTCGAAAATGATTAAATTATTATCATCCTTTTACTAGTTGTTCGCCCAGTTCATTATCACCGTTATTGTCCACCCTTGCTCCGGGATATTTTTTTTCCTTTTTGTTTTTGTTTTTTTATTATTTTTACCCTCAAGTACTTTGTCTCGTTCCTTATCGCTCTTCCCTTTCCATCCTTCTTCACTCTCATCCTTAGAATCTTTGTGAATCCTACGACTTTGTGGCCACGCCTCCCCCCACCTTCTCCCACGCCCTCACCGAACACCCCCCCCCCGAGTAGTCGACGGTAGGTATCTTCTTCCTTGAGGTCAACGCTTCGGAGACGGGCGATGCGCTTACGACGGAATTAAGGGATGGAAGTGTGGTAGTTACGCTCGAGATTTCGGCTTCTAACGGCGATAATATATTTTTCGAAAGTCGTTGAACCGTTCCTAAGGTTAGAAAGATACGCTCGATCGAGTAAAGCGACGAAAGAGAGTTCTCGCCAAAAATATCGAAATCGTAGATCGAACATTGATTTAAGATCCTGACGTTTTCTTAAAACGCATTTGTCCACGTGGAATTTTGCATCTCTCTCTCTCTCTCTCTCTCTCTCTCACCCATGCTCTGGTTCTTTCGAAGCACTTTTGCAAATTGCTTCGTAACTTTGCCTCGTCGTCGATGCACGTAGGTCAAATCGATACGCGTTTCCGTTCTCATCGATGGTCCGTACCAAGTTATTTAGAAATCGTCCTTAAAAAGAGACAAGAAAGAAAGAAGAGAAAAAAGGCAAAAGGATAAAAAAGGAAAAGAAAAAAAGAAGAGGAAGGAAAAATAACGAGTGAAGATTCAGGAAAACGTACGTTCATTAAAACTCTCGTCGTAATCCATTTCTCGCTCCGTATCACTTCCATCTTCCCCGATATTCGCTCGAATGAGAACGGAATTCTTCTTCGTTGGATGTTTCCAATGTTGGCGAATGAAATACAATGCTGAGTAAAAACGGACATATTAATAGACTCAATACCGCAAAGCACCCCTACGTGACAGCAGAAAAGAAAAAGAAAGAAAGAGAAAGAAAAAGAGAAAAAGAGAGAGAGAGTGTGTGTGTGTGTGTGTGAGAGAGAGAGAGAGAGAAAATAAGCATTCGTTTTAGCAAGGAAAAGCGAGGTCAAGAGAAATAGAGAGAGAGAGCAAGAGGCTCGGTTTTCTCCGGGCTATTTTAACGGGTCGTGAGATATCGATGAAAGGTTCTCGTAGCACGATGTTTCCGAAACATTCCCCGTTACGGAGTAAGGGATGGAAGATGGGATTGACGGTGTGTGGTGTGGTGTCAGGGGGTAACAGTTGAAGAGGGTGTAGATGGTTATAGCAAAGTCCAGTGAGGAAATTCGGCTGTGAGTCTCGTGCCTCGGAGCGTATCTCGAGCTCGCCCTTCGACATCAGCACCACCATCACTATCACTACTACCAGCAGTAGGAGCAGCATCACTACCACCATCAATACCAACACCAACGCCCCAGCATCATCTCGACGACGGAAAAGGAAAGGGTGGTAAAGGAAGAGGAAGAGGAAGAGGACGAGGAGGAGGAGAAGAAGAAGAAGGATAGGAGAATAGGAGGATAGAGGATAGGATAGGATAGCTGGCAGGAACGGGCTAGCGGCTAAGTCGGGCAAAAGCTCGCGTTTCCCTCCGGAATTCGAGCTCCGTCATGCCGGCGCATCGCGTGGCGTCGTTCGACGTCCTGATGCACTCCATCCCACTTCCCATGTATGTATGTCCAACCCTCTCTCTATCTCTCTCTCTCTCCCTCTTTCTATCCAGTCACCCTGGCACACACCACCCTTGGGATCGAGCCTCGTAAAATTGGATTTGCGCACGGCGTACGCTCGATTTATCCTATCGACCCGATCGATATATGGATATACCTATATACCTATGGTATATATGTATCTATCTATCTATCTATCTATCTATCCATCTATCTATCTACACGTAGATATCTATGTGTGGATCCTTGAAATACGAAGGACCAAGATCTTCTTCGATTCCACCACGACATCCTTAGTACCGTGCCACAGGATTATCAACGTCCTTTTTCGCGTAATCGCTCTCTTCCTTTCCTCTTCCCTCCTTTCTTCTTACTTTCGACGATGACCACCACGAATACACACAAAAGCATGGGCACACATACAGGGACATACGTTCCAAGTTACCGCTCTGATTTCCTACGGATTTCACTCTGTTTCGTTTCCTTCGATTTCTCGATAAAACGCGCGATAAGGAGGTACCAATCGATCGTACGATCTCGATTCCCCGATAAAAGAATGTTTCTAAATCGAACGATGTTCTCTCTCTCTCTCTCTCTCTCTTTTTCTCTATCTCTATCTCTCTATCTCTATCTATCTTGCTTTTTGTCGCTTCGCAAGATTTATCGGTCCAGTGGAAGAAGGCGACCAATCGGTTTGCATTGTTACGAGAAACCACTTCATTCTGTAATTCGCTAAAGCAAAATCGCTCGTAATTATTTATCAGAGTACGAGAGATAAACTAAATCTATGGTTTACATTTAACAAATCCTTTTACAAAATGACTCGATCGGATTCATAATATATATATATATATATATATATATATATATATATATATATATATCACATAACGATATTACTTTATTATTTAGAAAAACTTGAAGAAGAGAACGATCGACTTAAGCTTGACGGAATGTTCTAATATTTCGAAAATGAATTTTTTGGGAAATTCCTTATCACTTGCGAAGAATTAGCGTGATATTCTGGAAAAGATGATGTTGACGGTGATGATGGTGGCAATGGTAGTTGTGATAGTTGCTCGCAAAGGCGCCAGGCTAAAGTTCCTTCGTAATAATTTACCCTAATCCTCGAGAACGATCCTGTCGAAGATCCGGTGGAAGTTGCAGGTTTGCGAGCGAGTGAAAGAGAGAAAAAAAAGAAATATATATATATATAGCAAGAGAAAAGAGGATAGAAAACGTTTTTGTCATGGAAAGAACGAGGAGAGAAGAGAGAGGGTTTAAATCCGATGGCAAAGGAAAAGTTTGCGTCTGTTGGGACGTCATAACGTTGCTGTGCACGTGCACACGAGAAACCGCATGTTCTATCGAGGGTAGACGCGATCGAGACGGGAAACAATCGCTTTCTCCATCTTACTTTTACCAATAGGCACTACTACCTTTTCGACTCTTTCCTTCTCTTTTTTTCTCTTCCACCGCCGCACTCCCCCTTTTTCCTTCGAGTTCAACGATCAAAAAGCTACCGACGAAAATGACATACTTCGCCGAATGCTATTTTTCTTTTTACGTTCTTTTCGATCCAATTCCTCTTCTCTTTTACTTTCCTTTATTATCTCTTATACTTTCGACAAGTATCAATTAGATTGTTTTATCGATAAACAAATGTAGCAGATATCTTTCGGATATTATTATTTATTTATTTTATTTACATGCATATACGTATGTATATAATATTAATTTGACCTTTGAATTTTTCATAATAATATCCGTTTTCATGAATTCGTTAATTTTTTTCCCTCTCAGTTAAAATTTTTTTAGTCTCGACTACTATGACGTTAGTTGCATTCATGAATATACTCCAATGCAAAAATGCTGAGGTACTTTGCATTAGGATTTTTTTTTTTATCTAAACCTCGCTATGTTATATTTGAAAGTTGACCACAT